ACTTGCACGATGTCCCCTAATTTATATTGGGGCCGACGCCCAACATCCCCATTTCGGGCCTCCTAGCTTCGGTGTTGAGCGCATCGGTCCGACACCGTGCAAGGCGGGGCAGGACCCTCCTAGCCGCGTCACGTAGGAGTTGGTCTGATCCTCGTTGCTAATACCTATGGAGCTTCCGCAAGCCGCTCCGGCCGAGTGCGCCAACCATACCTCTCGCGAGCCCCTACGACAGGATAGGGCCTACGCGAGGCATGACCTACCTCCACCTTACGGGAGTTGTCACCTCCCTTCGGTGGGCGTATCCCCGCTAAGCTACCAGTCCACAGTACGAAAGCTAATCAGTTGCAATCGCAGAGGTGGACCTGCCGAGGCGTTTCTCGTAGCATAGGGGGTATGAGCGGTTTTACACCTCTATTGGACCCGCACGTGAATCGACATCTGGGGGGGCTGAGGTCCCGAGCTCGACTCGTCGTCGGTCGACTAGGATGCATTCCCCACACCACGCGCACGCCACTCCAAAAAACATAAAAATAAAAACACACACACATACACATATACACAAAACGACACAGAACAAACAACCCGACAACACACCTAGTCCCTTAGTAGCCATTCCATAACTCTTCGATGTGGAAATCGGATAGTCATCGCGCACGAGACTTAGTATAAAACCGCGCGGACGTGGGCTAACTCATATCGACTCGCAATGCCGGCTTACGCAAGCAGTTGCAATGATGGCATACTATATAGTGCCCATAATCGAGCGGTCCCTCGTGGATTCGACTACCGCTTATGATACTCAAGTGTCAAACTCGAAGTATCGTGAGGGTCTACCCCTTCACAATATTGCACGGTTGAAGGAATAGTCATGCGACCTCCACGACACCTCCGGCCTTTAGGCTGAGTGCCCCGACAGGCAGGGCAAATAGGCTCTGCGCGGGGGGAGATCCTTTCCATGCGGAGTCCAGGACATGAATGTCCTAGACAAGGACCTTGAATCCATGAACAGGACTAACGTCTGACTAAGAAATCTTTAAGAACCATACAATAAATAGAGGGTTTTTCTTTCCTTTCTCAGTCTCAACCCCAATTAAACCCTTAAGCGTAGGCCCCTCAGGCCACGCGAACACCCAATATAGGTACATATATATATATATATATGTAAAGGGTAATTAAGTATGTGACGATCACTTCTCACAATCACAGTGGGACTCCTCACAACCATATATATGTGTGTGATTGCAGACGGTCAAATCCAAAATCCGAACCACAGAACATACCTGCAATCACATCAAATAGTCAATCAAAAGTTCACACACTACACGGAGTCAACTTCAACCAATCTCTATACTCATACCCCTCGCTTTAGCCATGCAAGCCCCAACCTTTGTCCAACCCGTCCATAATTAAATACTTAGTACCTTTGTTAAATGACAATTCAATAAAAGTATGGGTGAAAACCTTCATAAAACAAAAAAAATCACCAGGGCTAAATCCTTTTAGGTTGAGTATTGAGGATGAATTGGAGTCGAGTTGTAGACCGATGAATCGGCAACCGACCTGTTATCAGTAATAACAGAAGGTGATCCTTGTAGGATCAAGCTGAATCTAGTCTTGATTTCGAATTCAACGTTCAAGAGGACCTGTAACATAAGACAGGTCAATCCCCAAGCTAAATTTATGAGCTAAGATCCAACGTAGTCTCAATATCATAATTTCACCAAGAATCATTCTACTTAGCGAATCCTGAGTCTACTCCGAAGTCAGTGCCTAATGAAAAGGTAAACCTTTGTCAGAATCCCCTCTATACAGAGTGGATTACCAGAATTGCCACCTGTCAAAATATAATCTAACTCCTCTAAACTAAGAAAATTTCGGCAGCGTTTCCCGTAGGAAAATTGTCTTTCCAAAATTTATAATAACTCAAATATGAAAAAAAAAATAAAAAAATTTCAATTCAAGAAAGTCAAAATTTGTCTAACTCTCTGAATTAGTAAAAATTTGGGCAGCATCTCCTTTAGAAAGGTAGACTTCCCAGATTCATACTAAATCAGATAGGAACTCGAGAGTTAAACTTGAGTTCGACTTCAAGACAAAGTTCAACTGACCCCTTAAATTTGTAGAAATTTCGGCAGCGCTTCCCGTACAGAAAGCGCTATTCCAAGATTTATACAAAGCTAAGTCCAGAATCTAAAATGACTTTGATTTCTCAAGGTTCAATTTTGTCTAACTCCCTGAATTAGCAAAAATTTGGGCAGCACTCCCTTTAGAAAAAAAGGTTTTCCAAATTTTTACTAAGTTAAAAAGTAAGAAAAACTGGACCCTGAAAAAGACAAAATCTGACTAACTCCTTGCTTTTGTAAAAATTTTGGCAGCGTTTTTCGTAGAGAAAGTGACTTACCAAAATTTATACAGGACCAATTATAATAAATGATCCCAGAAAATGCAGAAATCGACCTAAGTAAAAATAAACTTAGCTCAGAAAATGCAGGAATTCAAACTAACTCCTATGACTCTAGCACGTGGTGAGCAACTAAAGCAACTACCTATCAAACTGAAACTCAGACTAAGTAGTAGTCGCACTCAATCTCATGCAGGTCAAACCACAAAGGTAACTACTCTCACTATCCCCAAAGTCAATTTATCAAACAATAGTTCATAGTCCCTCAATGATTTATCCCTTTATACCCATCTTACATAGGACATAAAGCTAGACCACCCAAACTAAAGGAACATGTCTAGCTTAGCCGTGGAGTATACACAAACAAAGGACACAATAACTTTTCTCTTCTTTGGGCATATGATTATGCCACCCTAGTCGCCCTGAACTGTTTAAGTATCCAAGTTTTATATAATTATCTTCACTTAGTCTTTTGAGGTAACATATAACTGAACCGATCATCTTTAGCTCAAGATTCAGTCTGCCCCTTCGTACCACAGGTTTATTCTTAATTGATACTCACTTCAGTTTGTGATAAGCTATAGTCAGACAACCCAAACTTATGGAACCCTGTTTGACTAGCCTATTCATAGTAATAAAGTATAGTCAAGTTATGGCCTTCTGGTTCGAGCATGTGCGTGGAGTTGGACCAAGACCACCCAAACTTATGGAACATGTCTTGGTCCTCAGCCTAGTTCATTTCTCTTAAAACCAAACCAGAAAGAGACCGAGTCATCCAAACTTATGAAACATGCTCAGACCTCCTCATTCAGAACAAAAAGAAACTAAAAGAAACCTAAACAAGGCGACCAAACCACCCAAACTTATGGAACATGCTTGGCCCCTGAAAAGCCAATCACAGTCAGCCCTTACAAGTCAGAGCAACCAGACCACCTAAACTTATGGAACATGTCTGGTTCTCCAGGCAATTCAAAAATAAACATAGCACTAGACCTCTCCAAACTTATGGAGACTTGCCCAGTCTTTGATAGACCCAGTCAAACAAGCAATATTGCCTTCCTCCCATCCTTCCCCCAGATGCAATCCCACAATCTGCTTTCAGTCAAACAATAAAACTGAAACTGACATTGCGTATACATTCCTTTATGTAAGTCTTGTTTGTCCTGAAAGTCAAACCGAAAGCCAAAGTAAGGGTGCACACAATATACTCAGTCAAAACATAGTCGGGAATACAGTTAGGGGTTATAACAGGGTTTATAGAAGGAGAGCAATGGTTACTTTTCAGTTCCCTGCCTCCTGAACTCCTCCTGAGTTTCGGCAAAGCTCCCACAATCGGTGGGTTGACTCCCCACAGAGTCTTACTGCGGTCCTACGGGTTGCAATCCCGCCTGCTGCCTTCCCCTCAGAACAGGACTAGACTTAGTGTGAGGAGGATAGAAAGAGGGGTTTCAGACGCTCGAGATACAAGAAGGGGACACACTCAACTCGCAGGAGAGGGCCTCACAATCTTTAGTCGCCTGAGAGTCCCCCAATGATGGGCGGAACGCAGCCTCTACTCAGTCAACCTAAAGTCAGACCACCAAATGCCAGCTCTCGGACAAACTCCCAATTCCCATCGAAGACTTCATGGGAACAAGCTTGATCCCCTTCTCAAAACTCTGTGAATCAGATTATCTTAACCATGGGTAGGTCTGCAACCTGCGGCTCATCTTCAACTCCCTTACACGGTGGAATGAAAGGCAYATCAGCCAATAAATAGTTTTGCCCCTCACAACTGGTCAGTTGCCTCTTCTATCCATAGCATGCCCACCAACTGGTAAGTCTGAAATCTTCGTGACYGGCCCTACTTTAGTCGCTTTGCTCAGTGACGACGGTGTCACTGGTCAGTCGATRAGCGTTCAGTTCTGCAAATCGCTTTTCTCCCYTTTTTGCTCTTCTCAGTCCTTCTTGTCTCCCCCTCCCTAGTTGGCCTGCTGTGTCTATTACTCCGAAGAGTTATGCAGCACACARCCAAATGTCAGCCCTGCCGCTTGCTCGGCCGGTCTGTGGCTGCATAGGTTAGTAGGGTGAGCACCTCACCGGCTCAACAGCCGGAACCACTGTTCTTGTCTCGAAGCCCGATAGTAAACACCGCAACGTATATGTTCTGGCATTCAATAGTGCGCACGGTAACCCGTAGTAGTTACTTCGACAAGTTAGAGTTGAAGCAGAATATAAAAAAACTCTATTAGTGGCATCAGCCAGCTAAGGCGGGCAACTGTGGCGAACACAGCGGTCACAGTTATAAGGCTTCGTGTCACACAGCGAATGGCTGCCTGCACAATCAACTCCTACAGTCGCACCAACGATAGCTCAATAAGCGGTAACTCATCACTAACTGCCTCTGCAAACAACACATTCCTCGAGTTTATCAGGTAAGCGCTCTCTGCTGTTTGTCTTTCCTCCCTTTTCTTCCAAATAGTCGTCCCGCTGGTTTCCTATTCACATATCAAGCAGTCCTTGAGCATCTAAACGCCCCTGATAGTCGGTATAGCTAGRTTCMATCCGTAATGATGACGACCTTCATGATCTTGAAGACAGTCGCTCGGTCAAGGCGTACGCTAGGTGAGTAGTACTCCCTCTCTCACTCTCTTTTAACCGCCCGTCTACTGACACGCACGCCCCTCCTATTGATAGAATGAGCGAAATCGAATGAATCTCCCGCTGAAAGACGGTCAGATTCACGATATTTCAAGGTCTATTCAAGTATGGATGGGGATATGTTCAACCAATTCGGAGAAGAGATAGACCGTAAGATCCCAGGTGGGGTTAGAGCGGAGGCTCTAAGGAGGAGAGCGGCAGGAGGGCCACCAGCACCTCCGGCAGTATTCCGGCTGTGGCAAGAGAAGGAGGGTCCTCCAATAACAGTGGAAGAGATTGAAGAAGATGAAGGAGGGCATCTGCAGACGGCGAGTGAACAGGTGAAGGAAGARCCTGTGGTTAGGGAGGTGGAAGACGAGGAGGAAGCTGAGGACAGCTCGTCGATCATGGACCTCGTCGCCAAGATRGAGGACTTGTGGGGGAAGATGGGAAGGTACCAGCAGGAGCTGCAGGATATCTGTGGGGAGGTGAAAGAGTGGGAGGGTAGCCTCCCCAAGGTTTATTTGCTGGATATTGATCCGAGGCAAGGCCAGAACGCCAGAGCTACCCCAATGTAGCTTCGGTGGGGTCGGGCGCACGGCCAGGGGGATTGATAAGGCCTCCTATGGCACAAAGGAGGGTGGTGCCCGCAGCCCGAACGAGGAGTCAAGAGAAAGCTGGCCCAAGTCAGGAACCTCCAAAAAAGGAGCCAGAACAAGAAAGGAGGAAAGAGGATGTGGAGGTGGAGGATGACAGTGAGGATGAGGAGCAGGACAAGAGGCTCTGCCGTGAGGAGGATGAGAGGGYGGAGCAACGGGCCAAGAAGAGAGGGGTTAGAGAGGACCCTGAGCCAGCCTTGCGCGATACGGCGCGGAAGAAAAAGAAGTACGCGGTTCGATTGGAAGAAGGTTTTGATGTTGAAAGTGTGATCGACCGTCCGCTGGAGGACCACAATGATTTGTTGACCCTAAAAKAAATTTTAGCCTCTGCATCCCGGCTCCGTGACAGTCTGAAGGGGAGATTATCGAGGCGATTGATACCTAGCGTATTTCTGGGTACTATATTGCCAAAAGAGATGGAATGGGCAGAGCCAGGCACAAAAATGGACTGGAAGTATGTAGCCTGTGGAAGGATACCACTGGTAGTGAAAGGCACCAAGGCCTCCGCGATGGTAGATACAGGCGCRGAGATGAACATTATTCGTGAGGAAGATGCCATTAGATTTGGTCTGGATATAGACYGATCTGATTGCGGCATCTTACATGGTGCCAATTGCAAGGCAACGTTTTGCGGCACAGTTTCGAACGTGCTGTTAGAAATTGGGAAGGTAAAGTCCAGGGCGTGCTTTTTCGTTATGGCCGATGTGGATCATGGCCTTCTCCTAGGGAGGTCTTTCTTAAGCCGGAYAGAGACCCTGATGTTTAACAAACATGACGGTACTCTGATCCTGCTGATGTGCGATCCAGCCTRTGGTAATTACGAGGTGATTACCTGCATTAACACGGGGCCGCGCAACATAAGAAACAGACTCAGTCCCGGTTCCTTCACAGTTAAGGAAATGGAAGAGGAGCGGCGAAGGATCCATATGGAGGTGGAAGCAGAAGAGAAAGGAGAGGCGTTCGCTCTCAGTTTGGCGGACGTGGATAAGGCGACGGATTTGGTGGCAACCCACGAAATGGCGGATCCTAATGCCATCCAAGCTCTGAGAGAGCAAGTTTTGGAATGTCCCCAGGTGGGCGAGCTAGAGCTAGTCTATCGACTACCTGGTGGGAGAAGAGGACCGGCAGTGATGCAGGCCCAAGCTGTGAGCCAGCCTTTTTTAAGGGAAGGCTCAAGTAGGGCTCCAAAAGGCGGTACAAAACGGTAGATAAGAAGTGCCATCCAGTTCATATCCTCGTTACAAAGGATGAAGCATTTTACTA